CTTGCAATCTCTACGTTCTGGATTTATTCTTTTTTGACTTTCCTGTATCAGTTTGATATAGCTGAGTGTTTTGCTGGGCAATTTCAGACAGCAGTTCATAGTCAAGCACACTTCTTTGTATCTTTACATGAAATCAGACTGGGTAAGGACAACATATTTCCTTTCCTAAAGAATGCAGTGAATCAGCTGGTGTTTTACAATAGTCTAGTAACTATGAAGTACTATGTATAGTGCTGGTCACCCTGATATAGGAACTATTAAACTGGAAAGAGTGCAGAAAAGATTTACAAGGATTTTACCACAACTGGAGAGTTTGAGTTATAAGAAGAGGCTGGATAGGCTGGGACATTTTTCCCTGGAGAGTAGGAGGCTGAGGGGTGACCTTATAAAGGTTTATAAAATCATGAGAGGCATAGATAAGGTGAATAGCCAATGTCTTTTCCCCAGGATAGGGGAGTCCAAAACTAGAGGGCACAGGTTTAAGGTGAAAGGGGAAAGATTTAAAAGGGACATGAGGGGCAACATTTTCATGCAGAGGGTGGTGTGTGTATGGAGCAAACTGCCAGAGGAAGTGGTTGAGGTGGGTACAATTACAACATTTAAAAGACATTTGGACAGATACATGAATAGAAAAGGTTTAGAGGGATATGAGCCAAATGCAGGAAAATGGAACTAATTGCATTTAGGAAACTTGGTAGGCATGGATGAGTTGGACCAAAGGGTCTGTTTCTATGCTGTATGATTCTATGGAAGAACAAGGTTGACCTATCAGCATTTTACAAGTCCCATGAATCAGATTAGATTGCAGGCATAAAATTGCATCCAAAGTAAAATGTAGCACATGAAAATATATAAAGAAAGTATAATTTTTTTTTTAAAAACATTGTGGCATGACATTTCTCATTTGAGTGATATGTGCAAGTTCCATCAAAAGGATTAACTGTTATGATGGTACCATTGGACCCATAAATGTAAAAACAAGCCACAGTCAGTACATAGCCGAGTTTTTTTACGTTAGTAGTTGAGATTTGATTGACATCAGACACCAAACCTCAGAGTATTCTATTGATTGGTCTTAGGATAAACTTTCATCATATTTCACAACCGCTTCTGTTTTTTCTGTTGGATTGATTTGTACCAGAGTTTAAATATTAATTAACTACTAAACTTTTAAGAAATAGAATAGTTAAGAATATGTCAATTCTTCACCTCCCAGTACACAGCCAAAGCTCCCTCTTCGAAGTTTACCATCTTCATCACCAAATTGATGCTGGAGTTTTGAGACTTTTCCAGATGAACAGGAGAGGTCAGGATTACTTAATTTCCTGAAGAACAATGGAGAAGATCCAGAAAGCTCTGCCTGTTTAGAAAAAAAAAGTTATTCAATTTGGTTTTCAAGTTAATCCTAAAATTATTAACCAACTCAAAATCAAGTAAAGAGGAGCAGAGAGGCTGACGTTTCGGGCCTCGATCCGAAACGTCAGCCTCTCTGCTCCTATGATGCTGCTTGGCCTGCTGTGTTCATCCAGCCCTGCACCTTGTTGTCTCGGATTCTCCAGCATCTGCAGTTCCTACTATCTCTGATTCAAAATCAAGTAAATGTTGTTTATTCATAACATGTTCAATCATACCCGGATAACCCCTTGTGATTTTATATATTTGAAATGTAGAACCTGGCCAGACTTGAACCTTTTGGACAAAGGTAGGACTTTTCTTTCAAAAGCCTCTTTTTCAAAATCATAACCCACCAGAGTAATGTGCTGGAAATCAATTGTCACTATTCCCAGAGTCATCACCTTAAATCCATGAGAAATAGGAAGAGGAGCAGGCCATTCGGCCCCTCAAGCCTGTTCCACCATTTAATAGGATCATGACTGATCTGTCATACTTCATGTCCTGCCCTTTTCCCATAACCCTTGGTTCCCCTGATCAAGAATCTGTCCATCTCAGTCTTAAATATATACAAGAACTTTGCTCCACCATTCTCTATGCCAAGGAGCTCCAAAGACTCTCAATCATCTGAGAAAAGAAATTCGTCCTCATCTCAGTCTTAAATTGGCAGCCCTATATTCTGAGACTATGCCTCTGTCCCATTCTTCTAAACTCCACTGAGTACAGTCTCAACTTGTTGGTCTTTGCTGAAAGACAATCCTTCCGTACCAGGGATCATCCTAATCAATCTTCTCTCATCACCAATGAACTTATATCTTTCCTTAAATAAGGGAATCATAGTACTGCTCACAGTGCTCCACATATGGTCTCGCCAGCACCTTGTACGGTTGCAGTAAGACTTCCCAACTCTTATACTACAAACCCCTTGAAATAAGGGCCAACAGTCCATTAGTCTTCTGAATATCTGCTGCACCTGTGTGCTAGCTATCTACGTTTTGTATGCAAGTACGCCCTCGTCAGTTTGTGTTGCAGCTTTCTGCAGCCAATTAGATAATATTCTGTTCTTTAGTTCTCCCTTCCAAAATTAATAACTTTGCACTTTCCCACACTGTACTCCATCTGCCAACTTATTACCAACTAACTTAACCTACCAGTATCTCTCTCTAAATGTCTGTATCCATCTCACACCATACCTTGCAACCCATTTTCGTATCATCTGCAAATTTGGCTACGGTGCATTCACTTCCTTCGTCCAAGTCATTGATATATATTGTGAACAGTTGTGGTTCCAGCACTGAATCCTATGGAACTCCCACTGGTCATGGGTCACCAAGTTGAAAAGGAATCCCTTATCCCTTATCAGTTTCCTGCCCATGAATCAATTCTTTACCCAAGTCAAAATACTACCTCCAATATCTTGTCTTGTGATTAACCATTTCTAAGGTACTTTGTCGAATGTCTTCTGGAAGTTCAAATACAATACAATACAATCAACTGGTTCTCCTTTACAAATCTTGGTTGAGACTTTCTCAAAAAAACTGATAAAATTAGCCAGACACAAATTTCCTTAAATGAAGCCATCTGACTTTGCTTGTTTAAATTATGACTTTCCAAATGTTCTGTTATGACTTTCTCAATAATTGATTCCAATCATAGGTGTTAGGCTAATTGACCTATAGTTACCCAATATCCAGCACCTCCCCCCCCTCCAACTTTTTGAATAGGGATGTCACATTAACAAAAAAAACTACTTATTGTAATCAAGTATTTTTAACCAATGGTTAAAAAAAGGACGCAAGGTGAATTGCTAATCTATAACTTAAATTCCACACTTCCTTAAAACTCACATACAAAGAGACAAGCCAAGACATAATACAATATGACACAAGTATTATGGCTGAGGAATGGGGGGCAAAGGTCAGTGAAGCACAGTTCTGGCACCAGTCCGGATCACAGATGTCAATGAGGGCAAAGTGGCAGAAGGTAAACAAAGTCAAAAAGTTGACCGCTGAACTGTTACATTCTTTTTTTGATGTAACATTTTCACAACGACAGACCTTAAGCTCACTGGCCTACAGCTGCTGGTTCAGATCTCCTTTGATTTTTGAATAAGGATGTTAACCCTTTGGAGTTTTCCAATGCTCTAGGACTTTTCCAGAATCTAAGGATTCTTGGAATATTACTACCAATGTATCCACTTTTATGGACCTAGTTCCTTTAATATCCTCGGATGCAGTCCAACTAACGCAAGTTTAAATTAAGCCTCTGTCTGAAATCCATATTTTAACTGAGGATGAATCACTGCAGTTAATTTTTCTGCTTAATTTTTGTTGGTTTTATTTAATCATGTTTTAAATTTTGTTTTTGTCCATCTCAATCATCTAAAAATTAACATTTTGCTGATTCGAAAAATAAAGAAATGCTAACAAGTATTTGAAAATGCACACTTATCCCAACACACTTGGTTCTATTAGCCAATCCTCTATCCTTGCTAATATACTATCTTTAACACCCACTATCTTATTAAGTACAATACAATCGCATCACATCCAGTAAATACATCTACTAAATATCTCAACAAACCAATTCATTGCTTCAATGATCTATCAGGTCACTCCTCAGCCTTTTCCTTTTGAGAGCAAAATTAATGCCCTAGCTTGTTTTTATTAATCTAACGGTTTTAATGTAGATTCAATGATTCAAACATACATTTATTAATTCCCAATGTTTTCAATCCAGGAGGGACATTTTGCCTATTTTTTCGTCCTCTGGGATTATCAATCTACAACTGCATCACTTGGATGGGCGGACTAGATCATGTTTAATGATGACCCATGTTTTTAGGCTCCATTTGTGTATTTTTCTCATGTTCTATGCCAAGAACAACCTATAAGCAAACTGTAATTTCCTGAAAAAGAGAGAGACTTTGTTTCATATTTGCTCAGTAAGTTGGGCTGTCACTTTAAGAGTCCAATCACGTGCCATAATGATGAAGTCATTGACCATTTTGGGCTTAGACTAACCTTGCTAACTGTAGAGCAAATATCTCTGTAATAAAGCTCCTGCTGTTTAACACTTCAGCTTCCTGGTCCTTCTCGGAATATAAGAAACTTAACCTGCAGAAAAGCTGACAATGTAGCTTTATCTAGAATTTGAACCTAAATCATTCCTTCTGCATTTATCTACTTGAAGTTAGAGCAACAAATATTTAGAAGCAAAAACAGAAATTGCAGGAAAATCTGAACAGGTCTGACATCATCTGTCAAGAGAAATCAGAGCTAACCTTTTTCAGAATATTCAGACATTGTTAAAGATATATGGCACAAGAGAGGTTAATAAGAGATGAGCAGCCTTCATAGACTTGAACTCGTAACATTCTATATTCAGTGGTCAGATACAAACAGAAGTTAAATTTTTAATACTAAATATGAACTTGTTTCTATGCCATAACTGATGGCCCATAGGGGATTAATAAAGACTGAAATAGAAATTGAAAATCATTATCAGTTCCAATGTGCCAACTTCACGTTCAGCTGATTGAGGGAAAAATGGAGTATTTGAGGCTTAGGATTTCAAACACACAATTAAGATCATGGCATACTAAGCAGCAGTAATCCCTGGTGCTCCTGTAGGCTTCGGAGATGTGGGCAAGAGAAAGCAGGCACCTCAAAGTACAGTGGAAAAGTATCACCATGGGTGCCTTTGCACCTCTCTCAAGTCAAAAGAGGCACTAGGCTGGATATGTCACGCTTTGTCTAACACTAATTTCCAAACAACTTGCAAGTCATGTGCAGCAAACTAACACCCTGAAGGACAGCACAAATGTTTTAGGAATGTCCTCAATACAGTCCTTAAGATGTGACGCATCTCTGCCACCTGAGAGGAGTCCCTGATTTCTGACCAAGCAAAATTGGGAAGGTTCATTCAGGAGTACACAGAGACTGTTGAAAACACAGAGACAGAACTGCGGCATCCATCAGAGCTCACAAACCTCCAAACAATTCATCCAGCCAGCCCTTCAAATTGACCCCCACGTTAGTGGAGTCTGCAAATTACATATTATACTTATCAGCCATTCAGCCGTATTGCAATCCAAACAGAAAGGGAGTAAGCCATCCTAATCATGAGGGATTTCCTAAGATAAAACCAAAAACACTACCATACAAAATACAATACAAGCCTCACAAGCAGAACTGTGTGACTTTCAATAACCACCACTCTACCCACTAAGATAAATGGGTTTCTTGACTACACGTCTTTTAGCTATTCAAAAGGACACGGTCAATCAAAATTGTATTTACACAACCAAATATGGCTGTGAAACTCAATGAGGCTCAAAGATCAGTTTCCTGGACTTTATCTCAAGTCAAGCATTATGGGGGTTGGGGTGGGGAGAAGAGTTAGAGAAGCAAGGAAAGTAGAGAAATAATCTCCCACGGCCAAAGTACTGAATTCTATGGAGATATCAGGAAGTGTGATAACTGAGTAATTCTGAATCCTTTTTAAAGGCAGAGGTAGTTTGATCATTGGCTAACAAGAGACTTAAGGGGCATCGGAATAGGCAAGGAAGTGGAGTTGAGGCCAGTAGGAAATACATCATGCTCTTATCAAAAGGCAGAGCAATTTGAAAGGCCAAATGGCCTATTTAGAATCATAGAATCCCTAAGTGGGGAAAGAGGCCATTCGACCCATCAAGTCTGCACCAACCCTTCAAAGAGCATCCCACGCAGACCCAGCCACCGATCCTATTCCTCTAACCCCGCATTTACCATGGCTAATCCACCTAGCCTGCACATCCCTGGACTGTGGGGGGGTAGCCGGAGCACCCAGAGGAAACCTATGCAGACATGGGGAGAATATCTGTGTGGAGTTTGCACAGTCACCCAAGGCTGGAATCGAACCTGGGTCCCTGACGCTGTGAGGCAGCAGTGCTAACCACGTGCCGCCCACTGGGTTTAAAATAATTAA